GTGATATATTGTGTTCTTTTTAACTACTATCTCTATAAGTCAAAGTTATTTGTAGTCAATTTTTTATGAAAATAATTGAACTTCTAATTATGTTTAGTAATTCATGAGCTTCTATTTGTGTTAAAATATATAAAGTGTATGTTTATGCAATAATCAAACATATTCTGCATAGATAAGGCTTTATGTATTTAATGCATAGACACATACCTCGTTCTTATCATTCTTTTATTCATTTATTATAGTGTTACGTCTTACGTATTATGTAATAAAAGTAATACTTTTACGAAGCAATGCTAAACACATGCACGTTGAAAATGTTATCTAATCATAAAAATGTATCCAAAGTTTAATTCTGAAGAATTGAAATCATCGTCTAACTCAAAAGTTTGCATATTTCAATATATGTTTCACACGTATGAACTATTGCGAATATGAACTTTATCGCATTTTAAACCAACTAACAAGATAAAAAGTTGATAAGTATCGAGCATATTCGGTGAACCTAAGTATTACACTTTTTTGGAACATATCTTTTCCGAAATATCTTTAACGACAACCAGCTTGACTCATTATTTAATATCGTGTACACACATAGTATAATATAAACAATTTCAGCAATGATGGAAATAGAGTGTAAGATCACTTTGATCATATTTGTCATATCGAATTTATCTCATGTTATCTTTTAATTGAACTTTTTGGCTTTTGAAGAAATAGTATAAATATAACCAGTTAAAGCTAATGATAACTAGTGGGGTGCTTGTCATCGTGCCTTAAGGCAAATTGCTGGAACTTTCCAAAGCGTAATCAAAAATCTTGGTACGGAACCCAAAAAAATTACACAAAATGTGTACTCATTATTAAAATCTATAAAATATCTGATAATTTGATGTACATATCTCCAATAAACATTTTTGATCGCCAAATGACATTTTTTTAACTTATTTTTATTGAGAGTCCATAACCGCTGGACCTGCCTTCCCAAAAATTTAATCAGTTCTTCATCTTGTCAATGCAAGTAAAATGTTTTTTGAATTATTAAAATCGGACGCTCCGTTCTCTTAAAAACTGAGTTACCGTTTTTAGCAATTTTTGCCCCGTATCTTCGGAACGGCTAGGCCTGCCTTCGCCAAAAACTAATCAGCACGTCTCCTTATCGAATGTTTTCTGAATTATTCAAATTGGTTGATCAGTGTTCGCGAAATCGTCGACGAAAATTTGTTTCCGCACACACACACACACACATACATCATAGTCTGGGATGCATAAAGGCATTTCCTTCGCTCTACAAAAAAAAACACATACATCAATTTTTTCCAAGGTATAGCAAAATATTCAGAAACCTTTGAAACGTAAAGATATCTAAAAAAATTCATTTTCAATTTTTTTACAATTACTATAACTTACCCTACGGGAAGTTAAAAATAGCTAAAGCTTTGATTATAAATAGTCATATGGAATTTATCTTATAATTGAAACTGTCTGACATATAATTTTCTATTTAAAATACTTTTCAAATCAATAACGGCGATTGTACTTAAATTTCAAGTATGTATATTCATTGTAATTTGTTTCAAGTACATTTTTAACTCGATTTTCAGGAAAGGTTAGTTTATAATCGTAGAATATAGCAATTTAAATAGAATAGTAGAATATTGTAATTGCAATTGAATCAGGTGATAGAGATGTTTAAAAGGTTTATAATATTTTATCTTAGACTTTTTTTCAATTGTTTATGCCATTATAATGTTCTCGTTTTGTATATTGATCAATTTTAAATTTGATCAGTATTGAACGTATGATTTTATGTCGAATTATTTTCAAAATTGTACTTTTACGTTATACCAAAATACTGCAAAATATTCAGTTTTAAACGTATTTGAGAATACACTAGGGTGGTCCTTAAAATGGTCATTTTCGAATTTCCTTGCTCCCACGGGCTCAAATGGTTCCAAATTGATAAAAAACAATTCTCTGAAAGTTTTGGCTCTTAATATTAACGTTGAGATAGAGCGCAATTCAATCAAACTTCGTATGGAAAGAGCATGGAAAAAAATTTGAAAATTAAAAAAAAAAATGAATGAGTTTTATTCATTCATTTGTTCGCTAAATTACATCTAAAAAACATTTTTAAAATTTTTGAAATTTTTTTCATGCTGTTTCCATACAAAACTATGATTGAATTGCGCTCTATCTAAACGTTAATATTAAGAGCTAAAACTTTCAGAGAATTGTTTTTTATCTATTTGGAACCATTTGAGCCCCTGGGAGCAAGAAAATTCGAAAATGACCATTTTAAGGACCACCCTAGAATACACGTCTAGTGAACTTAAAATTAATATTTCAAACATTCACATTTAACATTTTTAATGAAATTTATTATGTTATGGTAAGGGCTTATGATAATTCTGAAAATAGATACGAATTGTAATTCTTTTTTAATTTATTCATACAATTAATTTAATTTATAAATGAATTTTTCTCTAGTAATATATTATGATTGTAATAGTAGATTAACTCAATAGAGATATTTTGCTCCATCGCACATATTTTCGGAGCAATTTTTTTTTCAATGATACCCTTATGATAGAAGCCATAAGTCGAAGAAAAACATTTAGCATGGCACTTTCCAATTGAAATTTATTGAAGATAGTACGATATGCTCACGTGTATAAATTAATTTTGTGTACAAAGCTCGAAGAAAGGGAATGCTACCATCTGCTGGCTCTGTTATCCTACCTATACAATTCTGAACATATGTTCCGTTCAAAAGGAGGAATTAAAGAAATTTTAACGAAGGGTCGTCAGCCTTGCGTTACGACCAAGATAGTTGTGTTGGCGCTATGGTGTTTTAAAGCATTCAAATCCTGAACATTTTCATAGCACATTAAGAAAATTTACACGTTTGCATTTATTTTTCTAAATGCAATCGTATTTTTTTCATTGTATTGTGATAATGCACAAATCCTTAAATGCTTGTCCAGTTCATTAAATAGTTTTTTTGTCTCAAATTGTAGTTTGCAAGAAATTGTAGATTAACAAATAAATAGAATTGTAGATTATAATAAATCATTATAATTTAATATTTTGGCACCTTATTAGTAAACGATATTATGGGGACATTTCTGGGGTAACATAGACAATAACATAGCGTTGTTATGGCAACGCTATCTTATCCTTCTTTTTGGGTACTAAAAACTGTGAAAATGTTCTATTTGCTTTTGCCACAGAATTGGCCTCTAAATACTGTATTTTTTCTACCAACACCATGAATCAATAACCATAATATTGCACATTTTCAAGTCATAATTTTAGAAAACCTTTTCTAGGTAAGATCCTCTTGATACAAATAGCACAAATTTTGAATCTTATCATTCAAATGATTTTATGGCAGGTTAAGAGCGTTTTGCTCCATCATAAATACGCTTGCATTTAAATTTATAGTGAATTTAATAGAGTAAAGAAATACAACCACATGAATTGTGTCATGAAAACTTGCTTCTAATTGTAATATTGTCTCAACTTATATCAATAATTTATTATCACCATATTAAAAGGTATTAACATATTATTTCATTTTACTTTATAACGTTGTTTTTAATATGCCATGTGATATTTATTTTAGTGTAGATTTTTTAATGACTAGTGAAGCACGAGTTAATTTGTTTGGAGTTATTTTAAAATTTTGGCTTTCATCCAAACTTAATCTAAACACATATAGCGATTCAAACTTTTGTCTAATATTAAGCTCCATCTATATTACTGCCTTAAATAATCAATAATATGGAAATCTTAATAAAAGATTAGTACCTTTTTAATTAATTCATTGCATTGCTTTGTGTAAGTCATCTATTAATATTAATACCAAAATTAATTATACATTGCTACACAAGTCAGATTGTGTTCCGAATGGGCTCTGTATTAAATTTGCACAAATAAAAAAAGTAGAATCAGGCCAGTCAGCTGATATTTGAGAAACTCGAATTTCGTGAAATAATATTTGTTCAACCGGTGTTAGGATTTTCTTGTAACTGTGGTTGTATTTTTTTTCCATTGTACGAAATGGCAGATGTTTTATATTTTGGCACGCGACACCTTTTTTCTTAAGATAGCACATTATATTCCCTTTAAACAACCAACAAAGAATGACTTCTGGAATTTCTTACAATACTGTTAGTCAAGGTGTGCGTTTTTTTTTTAACTACTGGGTCAGTAGTGTGCCAATCTTTGATGTTAAGAAATAGAAAAAGTTAAAAAGACAAAAGTTATAAATTGTAATATGCGATACTTATTTTGTATGAATGTTTATTTTTATACGGTTTGACTACATACTATTTAAATAATATTCAATTTAAAATAAGTGGCAGTTGGAATTCATAATATATATACTATGTACTTTTATGTTTTGACTTTAAATTTTCATTACAATGTTATGCATTTGTTACGATTAAGATATTTGTATAATATTTGTGTATAACTCTATATAGTTGAAATTCAACTTGAAATATATTTGATACGAACGTTTTGTTATTTCTGGAAGTTCATACACAATTCAATTATAGTAACCTTGTATCGGCCAACTGTATTATTATCTTACTCGAAAATCTGAATCTCAAAAGTTCCCTGGTTTAAAATAAGGGAACGACATCCTTTTATTGTTTTTACGTACGAGTGATTCACATAATGGATTTAGCATTTCCTTGCAAACGATTGTGGATGTTACATTTCCAGTTTTTTCCTTAAGCAGTATATTCATATTATCTCGGCACTTTTGTATAAATCGGTAAGTTTGAAATTTGAAACAAAACGTATCAAAATTAGAGCGAATGTCTTTTTATTTAGGTGTCTGCAAGTGGTTTACCTCCAACATTATTTTATTCGTATTTTGAAGTCGTTGAGTCATTACATACTTTGTCAGATCCGATCGAATATTATTTCATATTCATATTGACTTTTTATAGTTTCAGAGAATCTTGTTAAAATAATTAATTTTATCTCAGATCTCGCGGCATATACGAGAGCGAAAGCAGCGGAGATGTCACCGAGGACGATTCAATAGGTATTAATAGAAAATACATCAATAAAGGCCGTTGGGCGAAAGAGGAGGTAAGTTTTTTTAAATATTTATATCAAGTAATTAGCCTACTTCTTCATATTATTTTTTATTAAAACTGATGCAGTTTTGATTTTTATAAATATATTACATTCATAACATATAATTTTTGTACCAAATACAGGATAAATATATGAACGTTGTTATGCTATGTTTATCAACATAATATTTCATGTATATTTTTTATTTTAGGATGCTCGATTGAAACGCTTGGTTGAAGAGCAAGGAGAAAAATGGGAGAGCATTGCTCGTCATTTTCGAGATCGCTCAGATGTCCAATGTCAACAGAGATGGACCAAAGTTGTAAATCCAGAACTGGTCAAGGGCCCATGGACAAAGGAGGTTATTTATCATTTGATTAACATTAATTATCACTGATTTATATTTTATTTATTTGTTTTTAAATTATTTGGTTATTAGGAGGATGAGAAAGTAGTTGAACTGGTGGAGCGTCATGGTCCAAAAAAATGGACCTTAATAGCTCGCCACCTAAAGGGTCGCATTGGAAAGCAATGCCGCGAAAGATGGCACAACCATCTTAATCCCAATATTAAGAAAACAGCCTGGACAGAAGCTGAAGACAGAATTATATATGATGCTCACAGACAATGGGGAAACCAATGGGCTAAAATTGCCAAGCTTCTTCCTGGGAGGTATAATTATTGCACAGTAAAATTTATTATTATTACTTGAATGGGAAATATGTATTATAATATTTGCAGAACTGACAATGCTATAAAAAATCATTGGAATTCTACAATGCGTCGAAAATATGAAAATGATGAACGTGTTGCTGACCGCAGATTAAAAACTCGAGCCACGCTTGGTAAGTTCTTTTGTATTTTTTTTATATATTTTAATATTAATTGCTTCTTTTTCCTATACAGGATCTTTATCTGGACGTTTGGTAGGTGTTGTGTCAACTGGTCGATCTCATCATATTGATCCACATATTTTAAAGCGTGATCATGGCCCATCTCCATCGTACTTAAAATCAGCTTCTCTTAGATACGAAGTGAGTATATACAATTAATAATCAAAAAACAATAAATTAATTTATCTTTGTATTCATAAATAATTATAATGTTATTAAGGACGATTGGGCTGACCAGTATGATCATGGCAGCAATCAATCAACAGCAAGTGGAAGTTCTGTTGGTCCTATATTTTCAACCTTTAATTCGCAAACTAGCTCAAGAATGGATGAACCCAGATTTATTTCACCAATTCGCCAAGGTAGACGTGGTATTAATGGATCACCTTACAGGTAATTATTCATATGTTATCGTATTTAAAACATTTTCATTGTGAAACAAAGTACTAATGATAAATGATTTTTTTTTTCTTACAATTTACGAAAGATGTTATTGATCATATTTTTAATGTTCATTTTCTCATAATTTTGAATAGACAGTTTCAATAATGTCTCCTACAGTAAAAATAAAATGAAAGGCATTTCTAAAATAAGCATGTTTTTTTTATTTGCAGGTTTTTGGATAGCATGGAAATATTGTCTAATGGCAGTCCTGTCAAGCTAGTGTCACTTAATGATGAAGGAATTGCAGAATTAAGCTTCTTAGACTCCCCTGTGAGAAAATCATCACATCATTTGAATAACAATCGTTTATCTGCAGTACTAAGAGCAATGGAATCAGGTGGCTCTCATAGTAGTGATAAACATGTGAGATCTCCTCCGCCAATCTTAAGGCGCAATAAAACCAATCATCACCGGTTCCGCAGAGATTCTGGAAATATGTCCAGTGAATTCCAAAGCGAGGGCAATATCACATCCAACACTGTATGTTAAACTTTTTTCTTGCATATTTTTTAGAGCATATTTATTCAGCTCTGATAATTGATAATATCTGATCCTGATAATTTTTTATAGCCTTCAAAAACCCCAGGAAAGTCTACTATGACACAGTTACATTTCAGCCCATCTCAACTTTTGAAAAGTCCTAATTTGTCTTTTGACTTGGGTATTACAAACTTGACTCCTATTAGAAAATCAACACCATTGAAAGGAATTGTGAGTATGGGTTTTATACCATATTTATTATTTAAATCTATGTTATAATTATTTATTTAAAAAATATTATTTTCGGATTTATTTTAGAAAAGCGAGCCCGATGCAGAGAGTCCTTTGAGTACACCAGTACCTCAAGATATGAAAATGGGGTCTTCAACAGCTGATGATTCAGAAAGCATTACTCCAATCAGAAGTCGCAAACTTTTATCAAATAATTCGCCAAGGTATGTTTTACATGATAAAACTTCAACAAAAATTAATTCAACATTTTTTATACTAATTTTTCTTTTATTTGCTATTTTTAAAACAGGACACCAACACCATTTAAAAATGCCTTGGCTGAATTAGAAAAACAAAGTGGAGTCAGGTATGTTCCATCAGAAAGTCCAAGTCGATTGAATGAAGATATTTCAGAAATAATGCAGCAAGAACAAGAGCAAGAAAAGTCTGAAGGAAATGAATCAAATAGAAATAGTTCTGATGTAACATCTGAGGTTACTCAAACTAATGGACAGGTGATAGTGAATAAATAATGAATTATAATTGTGATGAAGTAGTATTGAATTACAGAAATGATTTCTTTACAGGATAGTGGTATGGGAAGTATGATTGCAGGAAAACGTAAATTAATAGGAAAGGAAAACGAGCAACCATTAAGTACTGGAAAACGTGTTCGTAAAAGTTTAGGAAGTGCTTGGGCTAATGAAGTGTCATTTGTTGAAACACCTGTAAGCATAGTAAACATTTTTATAAATTAGAATAATACAAGTTTTTGCATTACAATATTATGTTCAGTTCATAACTTAAGTTTTATTTATAAGCAAAACACATAATCAAAAATTTATATTTTAATAAAATACAAATAAAGATTTCTGCCAAAGAATAAAATTTTAATAAGGAATATAAGAAACAAACTAGATTGAGATATATAAATCAACAAAGCTGAACTTGATATTCAACTTATCAGAATTGTTTATTTCAAAGTAATATTTTGTGTTCTTTATAATTATAAAAGACATTACTTTTACACAGAATATTTGAATTTTTTCACATAAATAATAAAGTAATTAATATTTTTATCTAATCAATGAGTTTTAATTTTTGCAGAGCAAAGGATTGGAAGGTTGCCTTCTGTTGTCACCAGCCATAGGACTTGGAAAAGATTCTTTGGATACATCATTTGGAATTCTATTTGACTCACCCATACTTCACACACCATTGAAAAATCTTGGTTCTTCGACATCAACACCACATAATTCACAGGTATTGCCAAACACTAGCAATAAATCGCCAAATATTTTAAATACACCAGAATTTTCTCTGGATAAGCTTCCTGACAATTCTAAAAATTCATCTCATTTCAATATGCCAATTACCATTAAAGCCAACAAGAATTTGAAGCATGGTTTTGATGATTTTGTTTTACCTAAATCTATCAACCAATCTATTAACAATCAATTTGCATCAACAAAAAATGTTTTTAATTCAACAACTATAAAAATATTAAATCCTGAAAAACCAAATCAAGTATCTTCTGTGAAGTACTTTTGTGATGATGCAAATAGCACAAGAATAAACCTAGCTGATTGCTTTAAACGAAATAATGCGGATGGTTTCACTAAAATTTCTTTAAAAAGTTTGAAGCCTGAAAACATAACGTCTGTTAGAAATGCTCTTCAATTACAAAACGGAGCGCTTAAAGATTCAAGCAATATTCGAAATGTTGATGATAATGGTAATTCTACAATTAATAATACAGAAATTGCTGTCTTCTCAAAATTAAATTCTGGAGATAATTCAAATGATTTGACTGAATCTTTGCATGATAATACAAATTTTTTTTGGCTAGATTATTAAATGTCTAATAATTTATTTATGTTGCTAATTATTAATTTTTTCTGCAATATTCTATTGGGTTTAACTTTTTATGTTTATCGAAATTGTGAATTGCATGCATTGATATTCATGCACAGACGAATATATCATGAAATATTTAAATTAAATACTAAATAAATAAAATCGCGTGAATCATTTTGATTTGTCACCCAAATATTATTTCCAGGAAATAATTTTTAAGTTAAAGGTCACTTTTTTTTCCTGATTAAATTATGAACTATTTAAAACTATTAAATCTTAACTAATTAAATCTTATCACATCAAGTAAGATGTCAAATTGGTGCAGAGACATTTATCACAAAATATGTTTAAATGTGATGAAATTATGCATGAAGATGCTTTATTTAAGCATTAAAATTTATTTACTAATATATATTTATATATTTATTATGCTATTAAATAATATAAAATTTCTTGTCATTATTTAATTTAAAGAATTTATTTTGTTTATGGTTATTAATTTATTTTATAGAGAAAAACATCCCATTTTGTCCATATTATTTTTATTTAAGATATTTGTTTTATATTTGATGAACTTTATTTCATAACAATCAGTACTATTTAATATTAAAATTATTTATTTTATAGTAATATAATATTAATAACTAGCAAAAATAGATTATTTTTGCTGTTAATTGAAAATAAAACGCTTGATATGTAAGAAGTACAATTATGCAGTAACTTTACACTAACATTACATGGAGGAGTTTAATTTTACAATTTAATTTTTAACTTTTTGCACCTTGTCTCTGATAATGTTTAATTCATTAAATTCAATACCAAAGAATATTTTGCCATGTGCTTGATTTAATATATTTTTGTTTATTAAGATATTTGTACGTTGCTTTCTACAATCTTTATATCACTTTGATTTATATCTTAATTCTGTTTTTTTATATCTGAGATATATTTTAATAATACATATAAAATGTTAGTATTTCATATGATTATATATAGGTTGTTTAATATAATGTAATAATTGATAAGTTTGAGAATATTTTCTTAAAATTATTATTCTGATTTTTGTACTTGTAAATTTTTCAATTTTTTATTGACTTAATTAATAAATGTCTTTGATCATATTTTATTATTTTATTTAAATTTAATGAAATGTCATCAGATTTTGGTGCTAAAAATTAAATTAGACAATTAAAAATTATTTATATAACTTAATGTAATGGGATGTTTTTCTTAATTGTAAAATAATTTGTATTGTTAATTGTTTTAACACTTATATTACTTTTTGTTTTGTTCCCATTGTTTCATGTCTAACATTTGTCACCAAAATCATTGATGTTTCACTCATATCCTTTTCCTTTTTTATTTTTTAATTTGTGAATTTTCATTTATTTCCATTGGCCAAATTAAAATAACAATTTGTTTCATTTAGTATTAATTGTGAATAGTCACCGTCCAGCTATATTTATAAAATGTTTTGCGTTCACAAAATTAATTTTAAATACGCTTATAGAAAATTATTTCTAAATGTTATACTCTAAAGTTATCAAGTTACAATATATTTTTTGAGATGAAAAATGTTTTCAGTAA